CCAGAAGGTGCTGGGTTCAAGTCCCACGGGGTAACCAGGACCTTTCTGTGTGGAGTCTGCATGTTCTCCCTGTGTCTGCGTGGGTTCTCTCCGGGTTCTCTGGCTTCCTCCAACTGTCTAGAAACCTGCATGTTAGCTTGACGTTGTTTTTCCACTTATTTTTGAATGTTTTTTGTACTTCTTCCACTTATGATTTTATTGTTTCTGCTGTTTCTTTTACTTATTTCTGGTTGTTTTTTCTCCTTTTTCCACTTATTGCCCTCAGGAGTGAGTGTGAGTGTGTGTGGTTGTTGGTCCTTGACTACTGGGATGGGCTCCAATCCCCCCGCGACCCCATTAGGGAATAAGCGGTTACGATATTGGATGGATGTAAAACCCAGCTTGTACTTGTGGCTGAGTGATCTTTGGCCACTGTGTGTTTAACCACCTGCGTGTTTCGTGAGGATCAACACGCGTCGCATAGCAGCCCGCAGACTTCAGCGCCCCGCAGGTGGCGGGGGGCTCACACAGGCACGCCAGAAATGATGGAAGCCTTTCATTAAGTCTGGACTTTAAGAGGCCGGCGTAAATCTTGGAAGTTGTCGTCGATGAAATGGGAGCTGGGGAAAGCCAACCCAAACAGAACGAGAGGCATTTCTTAATGCTCCTTCTCATTTCCTGCCTCTCTGAGCAGATGAGTTATGTTCTCCCGCTCTTGTTTTTAATGTCTCCCGTCTCCATTTTTCCAGTTCTGTTGTTCTTTTTCTTCTTTTCTGCCATCCCGTGGATCCTCCTTTCCTTCTCTGCGTCGCAACACTTCTCTGCTTGTTTTCCGCCTCTGCTTTTACTTCATTTTAAATCTGAATGCCCCTCTTTATTTGTCCCTTTTCATTCTCATCTCTTTGCATGGCGTCATGCTCTTTTCACTTTTCACTATCTTCTGACACTCTCTTCCTCACCACAGTAACTCTCTTTGCCTTCTCCCTCCTGTTTTTACTTTATCTCAGGCTGTCTTTCTTCATCTTCTTTGTGATTCCTTCCATTCATCTATCAACCTACCTCATTCTCTGCCCCATTATAGATCAGTTTTCTCTTTGCCTTTTTAATGTACATCTTTCTTCCTTATCTCCATGGAGTTTTTCCCATCCTTCCTCCTTTTTCTCTGCTCCCCTCTGGTGAGATAGAGTTGCTTCTTGATACAGTTTGTTCTCTTTGCAATGACAGGTTTCAGATAAATGACTCCAATGAGACTATAAACACTCACTTGGCATACAGTTACCGTGTGTGAGCGTGGATAATAGAGGATAATATGCCTCAGAGAATATAGGTATTATGTGTCATTCTCGGCCTTGGCCAGCTGAAGTGGCTGATTCATCACAATCAGCCTGTGTATTAACCAAACAGCTGTTCTTCATGCCCAGCTTCTTTTCCCCTTATGAAAGCAGCCTGATTTACAGGCCAAAGGCAGCTGTGCACAGACCTGCCTGAACTCTTCCACCTCCTCAGCTGGAGGTTGTGTTCTCTTTCTTTGATCCCTCAGATCAAGACTTCACGGATGATATCTGGTAAGGAGCCAAAGGGAACATCTTCACTAGCGTCAAACAAATGTACCGGAATCTCTTCCTAAACGGGTATTTCCCTTTCTGGAGAATAGAAAGCTGTGGACAGGGCAAAGATCGTTTAAGAAGAGGTGTGTTTCTCTTTCTCAGCTGGCATCTCTGGCCTGGTGTCATGCTGCTTTTTGATGGACCTGTCTACCTGTCAAAAGGAGATATTTCTTTTCACCTTCAGCTCTTTTATACCCAAGAGGCTGGATCAAAGTTCCACTTCCAAGCAATCTGTTGGATTTCTTTTTGGTTGGATTGGACTAGAATGAGCTGACCTGAACTGGGTTCTCATCTGTAATTTGCCCTGAGGTGGCACTGTTGTGATATGAAGCTATATAACAAAAACAGGAGGTTAGTCTACAATCCAAATCAATAAATCTACTAAAGAAATCTATTTTTTCCTTCAGATAATAAAGAAAGGGGTTGTTTAAGCTCTGCTAAAAGGTGTTTTAACATGAATAAATGGGCTGTTGTTTAAAAAAACAACAGAAAAGCAAAAAAACAAAAAAAACAAAGCTTGTGAGTCATAATCTCTTCCTTTCATGTTGTTCCTTCAGTAGAAGATTAACTCTGAAGCAGAGGCCACGGCGGATCAAACAGCAAACAAACTCTAACGTACTTCGATCGATGTTTTTACTAAAAAAGAGTGACGCCGGCTGTATTTTCGTGCTTCGGCGCTCACCTCACACAGGCCTCATTTCCAAGATCGATGGAGCGATCAGCCTTTTTCAGCTTTTTCCCCTGACTCCGACACTCATGGGAATCAGACATGTATTAATGTCACCTTGGGCCTCAGAACCAATCTCGGATTGCGCTGACATACCCCCAGCATTTTAAAAGCTCAGACTCTGACAGCCTCCGTGGCCTTGATGTGACTTACTGCGGTTTAGGGTTATATAGAACAGGGTCCCATTCATAAAACCCCTCAGGGTGGTGGAGACTCAATCTGTGGAATAAAAAGGCTGTTTTTCAGCTTCCATGGCAGCTACCTGAGAGTCTGTTTATCAAAGCCCATCGTTTCCTGTATCCCGCGTTTTCATTGAATTGCACGTTTTCTGTGCACTGTTTGCACAATTAATCGAATGCGAGGCGAGTCAAGAGAAAGAAAGAGGATAAATTTATCTTTAGAAAAGATATTGAAAAGCAAAAAGTGGATATTCCCTCGAAACAAACAAAAGAGATAAAGAGTTGTAAAGAGTCCTTGTGTTCTAGCTTCCATTTGCCTCATTATTTCGCTTTATTAAGGAATAAGTCCAATTAGAACACGAATGAAAAGCTGCATATTTTACACAGTTTAATAAAATAACAGAACAAAGAACGCAAAAGGAAAACTAACGAAGCTGAACTGTTAAAGTACTGGAAAAAGATGAGCCTGAAAGTCAAATTATGTGCAGAAGAAGGGCCCTCGACTGGTTAAAAACAGAGGAGAGAAGTTGTGTCTGTCATCGCAGTTCATCCGTCATTCAGCGAACTGATGAATGATTTATCAGTCAGTAATAAAACCTCACACCAAAGTTTGAAAATGCGACCGTTTGGGGAACTGCAAAGCAACCCAAACAAGAGTCTGCTTGCATCCTCTCTGCAGTGCGCTAATAGAAACTATGAGGAGTCCCGGGATTGCTATCGGTGGGTAAATTGAGGTTAAAGACTCCAGGGTGGGTTCCCCGTACTTCACAGGAATCACTTCTCTTGTCAGCCGTCTCTGGATCGATGAGGTCTCCACAGAAGAAGACCTGCCAATCCCAGCGCTTCGGCGGCTTTAGAAAGCTCACATGTCAGACTCAGGGAAGCCGTCTGATCTTAAGCAGGAGTTCATTAAGGGTTACGCAACAGTGTTTTTTTTAGGTTTCTGTCCCATCGGGGGCTTGAGTTTTACATGTTCTCTAAGAACAAGTGTGCGCCCTCTTTATGAAGAGAAAGACCTGTTGGGCTGCATGGGATTATAGATGGGTGATTGTATGAACAAACAAAACTGTTCACGGAAGCAAGGACCATTTTTCACAGTATTTAACACACAGGAATCACACAACAACTAGAGATTGCTAAATGAGATGCTAATTAGCTTATTCCCAATCAGAGAACAACAAGGGGAAAGCTAAACTTTCCAGTTTGGAGTATGAAATCCAGGATTTCAGAGCAAGAATCTGTTTAAAAAGAAGATTTAGATAACTGCTGTGTCTGTTTAATTTGATGGCAAACCCAAAGTATGAATAGTAATATTCATATGTCCCATTATGCCATTTAGAAAGCTGCAAAAGGGCAGCCATACCCTTTTAAGAAGTAAGGGGGTTGCTCTTCTGATCCTTTAAATTTGGCAGATAATACATTTTATCATGTGATTTTTTTTAACAGTTTTTTAATGTCACATTTTTTTAAAATACCTGATCAGTTAATAGCTGTAACTTTGGGAAATCTTTACGTTTTGTGCTGGCCGTACTTCTCACCGCTTTAATCAGTTAAATGTGACATTAAGAATCTTTTCTATCAGCGTTTCCCACCCTCTGGTCCTCAGGGCACACTGCCCTCCATGTTTTCCAAGTATTCTTGCTCCAGACCAGATTTAAAGCTTCAGGCCTTTTACACAGAAAATGACAATTTTTCAAAAACCTGTTTTCGTTTTCTTGTCTGTTATCTTTCATTGATCTGGAGCACAGTGCATCCTGGGATAAAAGCACCCCTGGATCCATATAACTCACCCCCAGATGCATCCTTGGTAAAACAGGAGGTGCACTTCACTATTCTCATAGTGAACGTTCATCATTTAACCCATTTAGAGGAAACGCATTGACTCAGTCATAAAAACTCTGTCAAAGCTGAAAAAAAGGAAGCGGTTGTCCCATTTAGACAGAAGAGTAACCAGTCCACAGCTCGCAGCAGAATGCCGGCTGCATACAGAGCCCTTATCGCTTTGAAACATGTGCTCCATGTTTAGAAGCTGGAATAGAGAACGATTCCAACAACTGAGCGCAGGGCATTCGAGAGCGAAAGGTTATCTCATTGGAGTTAGTCAGGTTTCCAAAAAATACACAGTTGCTCCCGTACCTTTCCCTTAACGACTTCTTTAGTAAGAAAGTGGGTGAATGCAGGACAAAAAATACCCTCAAAACAAACAGATCCATTCTTCGCTCTTTACGGTTTGATTTCACCCACGCAGAGACAGAAGCAGAAAAATACAAGATAATGAGAAGAGTTCCAAACACTTTAGAAAATTGACTGTGATACCTACAAGAGGGACTCCCCGGCAATCACTTGCCTTACGCCGAGTCAATAAGTTCTCCCAAACTGTATTTCGATCCACTTAAATTTGAAAAGTTGTTTGTCACTTAAGAAGTTCGATAACAGCCTTGAAAATAACTTTTCCGGTGAAGGTTTTCAGACACCCAGAACTGCTCTGCAAAAAAGGACGGGGAGGACTTACTTGAGAACGTGAGTGGAACCGTTGATCTGCGCTGCCGAGCAGGTGTTGGCGGGGGCCAGGATGGACGGCCTGCGGTACCTCTTCCTCCCGCAGCAGAGGATGATGAGGAAGGCACGGCGGAAGGACTTGTTGAGGAAGGCGTAGAGGATGGGGTTGAGCATGGAGTTGATGTAGCCCAGCCACAGGCAGGCGGTCCACAGCTGGTCGGGCACCGTGTAGTCTATGAAGGGGTCCACCACGTTGGTGACGAAGAACGGCGCCCAGCAGAGGCAGAAGCAGCCCATGATGATGCAGAGCGTCTTGGCCGCCTTGGTCTCCGTCCGCATGCGGTGGTTGCGCTGGTGGTCGGCGGAGTCGGCGCCCGAGGTGCCGGCCCCCCCCGCCCGCTGCAGCATGCTGATCTGCAGGGCGTGCGCTCGAGCCGTGATGTAGATCCTCTGGTAGGCCAGCACCATGAGGACCAGGGGGATGTAGAAGGCCACCACCGAGCAGGTCAGCGCGTAGGGCTTGTTGACCATGAAGACGCAGGAGGTGGAGTTGCTGCCCCCGCTGTGGCGCCTCTGCTCGATCTGGAATCAAAACCGCCCCAGTCAATACTTGCCACCTTGCTGCTGTTGCTGTAACTCCCCCATCTCACGTCCCCCCGGTTAAGAGTCTGGTAGTCATCCTTTACAGCACACTATCCTTTCAATCCCGGATCAATAACTCTACCAGGTCTTCCTACTTCCACCTACGAAACATCAACACCGCCCCCGCCCCTCCCTGGCCCCCCACACTGCTGCCATCCTCGTCCACAGCCTGGTCACTTCCCATCTGGATCATCAGAATTCTTTCTTCTTCGATCCTTCCCTAAACTTCAACTGGTCCAGAATTCAGCAGCCCACATCATAACTCGAACTCCCTCGATCCACCACTCCTGTCCTCCAACAGCTCCACTGGCTCCCGGTTCAGTTTCGAATTCCATTCAAAATTCTCCCGGTAACATCCAAGGCCAGTCCACAACCTGGCTCGCCCACACCTGTCTGACCGTATCCGTGTTCCCACTCCCTCCCACCAGCATTCAGCCGCTCTGCTCCCCGTCTCTGGAATTCATTGCCATCCCAACTCAGAAACATCCACTCACCCCCCCATTTCAAATCACATCTCAAAACACATCTGTTTGAGACTGCATTTTCTCTCTGTGGCCTGTTGATATCGCCATTGCCTCTGTCTATTCTTTTGACTTTATTGATCTGTATTGTTTCTTTTAATGCATTTGTTCTGTATCTTTCTACGGTGTCCTTGAGTGTCGAGTAAGGCGCCTTCAAATAAAATCTATTATTTTAATTATTATTGTTATTATCAGATGACTTCTATAGTTTTATTTACGGTTCGGTGGTCAGACTTTTGATTGTCCCCATCCTCTGTGGGGAGGTTGGAAGCTGCCAAACACACGGGGATTTCAATTTGTTTTCTTCCTCTTACTTTTTCTTTCAGTAGAACTTCTCAAACAACTTAAAACAAAGTTGCCTTTTTGTTGATCAAGTTTTAATATACTCAGCAGAATATTAACATTCAAAGCACGAAGAAAAGTCATAGGTGGCACCTTTCCAACCCCCAGATCCTCTTAAATACATTCATCCTGCATTATTTGTGTGGATGTGACAAGCTAACAACCCTGAAGACAGCTACCCCCACAAACCAGAGGGACTTTTGGGATTAGAATACAACCTCATCTCTTTAGTTTTTGGGTTTAGTTTCTCTCTGCATGCTTATACTAACCAGAGTTAAGAACATTTAGCTTTGCATCTGAAAACGATGCAGAGCCTTGAGAGGCCAGATCTAATAAAGCCTTCAGCATTCTCTACAGGGGACAAATCTACTTGAACGTGCTGAAATAAGCCGAAACAAAATAACTTACTTGGAGCCAAATGGAGCACATCAATTTTCCATGAGAATATCTTTACATGTGTGAAAAATGTTGCTCTGACCTGCTGATTTCTGCTTAATGCTGAAAATCCTGACAACTAATTGATGAGGGTGACAGAGGATTTGAGGTCTGATATCTTACAGGAATGCGGGACGTGTGCAGACATCGTTTTGAATGAATGAAAGGAGCGAGTGAGGCTGGTGAAGGCATTTTGGAGTCAATCTGAGCACTGTGATTTTTTTTAAGTGCACTCGGCAGCCGGAGTGAAGACGCGGATCAGTCAAGCCGTTGATGTTTTAATAAGATGGAGATCAAGAAGAAACTGGGAAGGAAAAGTCGAACCTCTCGACTGCTTTGTTCTGCTGCGGTACCAGGCGTCTTCAGACTTAAAAGGGGCCATCTGAAATTAAACATTTGCTGTGGTAGAAAGGAAACAGCTCCGGAGAGGGAAGAAGCTCGGCATCTCATCATTAATCACAGTGAAGTGTCAGAGTCCTCTCCATCACCTAATCTCTGTGGCACACTGCTGCTCGGGGCTAGGAGATGAATAAGAGATGAGTCTGTGCTGCTGACTGAGTGAGCGGAGCTGCTTTTCTGAAGGGGTTTTGACACATTTAAGTGTAAACTGACGTGTTAAAACTTTATGAATATCCTGCTGGAAATCCCACAAATGAATTAAAGACCATGTGAACGGAACAGAATGTGTGCCTCCATTTCCAATGAGGGCTATGTGTCTTATAGTCCGCTGACTTGTTTATCGAAGTGGGCCGGTCAAAAAGAGCTCACCACGGTCAACAAGTGGTCAGTTTCCCTTTTCTCCGCGAGTCGGAATGATGTTTTTTAAGCTGCAGTTCATGGGCCGAAGCTTCGATTTCAGTTTTCATCAAAAGATAAGAAGAATTGCTTCGACTTTGAATAATTTAGCCTAAAATAGAGAGATTAGATTGTGTTGCCACGGCTACAATGTGGACGCATTTCGTCATGGGTGCAATCTCATGTTGTAATTAGTGGGTGATTCATTGAGTGAGAACATTCATGTCTCCTTTTCTAAATAAGCTTTGTTAGAAAACGTTATTTTAAGACATCTAAAAGTTTGCTGATACGTCAACATACTGATGAGGTTATTTGTGTTGGAAAAGGGTGGAAACTGAAGGTGTGGGTTGAGCATCTAAAATAACATTGGAGATTTTATTTTGCAGAATTCTGGCCTTTTGGTCCTTTCCAATAATTTCTTTTTGAACTCTGCAGAGCTATTTGCTTTTCATTTACAGAGTTTCCTTTAAAAATCCAACACAACAACTTTCTGTTACTTAATTTTCCCCTTTTCTGCTTCACCTGCCAGTGTTTCGGTTTTAAACTCTGCTTTTGTTTTCTTTTTACTCTTGTGTTGAAACATGCGAATGAGAAATGAGGGCACGATCTGCATCCATTCAGGGCTCGCTTTAAAAATGTCAGAGACTGTAAAAGAGAACCAAACAAGCCCCCAGCTTTGTAAATTGGCGAAAAGCACGCAGGTAAACTTTCTGCTTTCAGGCCCTGGTCACTGAGCTGGGTCCAGAATATGCATGAGACACCTGAAATGAGCAATTTTTTGTGTGACTTAGAGGGTGATGTCATCAACTGGCAGGTTTATTCACCTTTTATTTTACCTTCTGCTTCAGTTTCGACTTTATTTTGAGGTAATGCCCTAATTCAATAGTCTAAATAGCATCCAAATAATGAGTGAAAGTGCATATTAATATACTAAAATATGTCGAAGTGTCTATAGTCTATAGTCTGCTGTGGTCCACATGACAGCCTTTTGCTTTGTGAGTCCAGGAAAGATGCATTTGCATCACAAAAGCAGCAAAAAAAGGGTGCCCTCGAGTCATGGAACTAAACAAAAAAAAAGAAAGAAGTTTAGTGCAAAATGATTCACTCTGTCAGTCTTTTTGTGTGTTTTGGAAACTCATTTCCTGACGCACATGAATAACTCGGAGCTGAAATCAATCAGAAATGACTGTTGCTGACTCTCGGTTAGCTCTTTCCATCCGTCCGCCCGCTGCATTCTGCAGCCCAATTATCAAAGAAAGCAATGATTTTTTCTGTCTCTGGTAATGAAACGGGAAAGTTCAAGCTTTGGACACAGAAGCAGCTCTTTTGGGAGCAAATCAAGAGTATCACAAACATGGCAAAAGGAGCAATCTGTTTGGTCTTTCAAGAGGAAATGATCAGCACACTTAGAAATCTCTCATATGACATCTTCAGATTTGGCTTTTTGTCTCCGGCCTGGGCTCAGCTGGTTTTCTTCTCCGACTCTTAATGACTGATACGCATCCATCAGCACGGATCTGAAAAGCTGTGATGCACAGACCAGTAAAAGGCAAACTGAAATGAAGCCGCTCTGGTTCTTGTCACCTGGCTCCTGAGTTCGTTGGCCAGCTTTGGAGCTCCGGTTGGTGCCAGAAACAACTGGCTCTAATTAGACCCACAGAGAGCCGCGCAGAGCCCAGACTGCTAGTCCCGAGCCCCCGTTTGTATCAAAAGCAGGAAGGGAGGCCGTGTTTGTGTGTGATGTGTAAGTCTGGTGAAAGGTTGATGCCTTTAAGTCTCCTTATGCACTTTAATTAGACGTCTTTTTATCTGTGAAAAAGTCTGCAACCACTTTTCTTTATTCATTTATCAAAAAGCAAAGTGATTAAATGACATTAAATAACATCTTAGGGGATAAACAAAGAACATAATTAGTAGCTTAGTATTAGATGTATTAGATGTCCTCACATATCTCTGTGATCTGTTGGGTTGAACTTGTGAAGTAAAGGGAGATGGAAGCCCCAGCAGATTCCTGCCTCATTAGCATAAAATATGGCCTTGTTTATCAAGATTTTACTAAGATGGTGGCTCCATTCAAAGGACAAATGGGATGTTTTTCTTATCCATGTCCATAATTAGCTTGATGTGACCTGACCGTGAGCAAAACGTCGACCCCAGGGAGTCACTTTCACTTTCAGGTGTTTTTTCTGTTCTTCCTTTTTGCAACATCTTCGACATCCTAACACAAACAGGACGCCTGCAGCTTCTCTACATTCGTTAAATAAAGTGCATGCCTGCGGTGTCAGTGGCCTTTCCGGTCCGGTCTCCCTCTGACATGTTGATGATCTTTCCGTCTCCTAAACAAAAGCTCCTCAGCACTACAGTGGGTGTCACAGTCAAAGTGGACCCAGGCGGTTTTCCTCAGCCGGGGACCCAAACAGAGGCTTTTCCCCCGGCCACGTAAACCCCAGAGGGGAGCTTCTGGACTCACCAGGTGGTCGATGCCGATGCTGTTCCAGCCCTGCATGATGGGCAGGAAGGAGATGAAGGTGGGGATGACCCAGCAGCCGCCGATCATCAGCGCCACTCGCATGGGCGTCATTTTGTTCCTGTAGACCAGCGGCTGGCAGCAGATAGCGTAGTACCTGCCCAGAGATCAGGGAGAGTGTTAGAACTGGGCTATAATTACTCACTTTAGCACAGTAAGCTATAACACAATCCATGTAAATGACTGATTGTCTTATTCCTTTTGAGATGTATATTATTCCCTTTATAATGATAGTTTTGGGTTAAACTCTCTGGTTGTTCCTCCTTCTCTCTCTGTTACAGTAGATACTCGTCTTCAAGCTCAACACACACACTTTCTTATCACATTCCACCAAAACCTGCATGAATTAGGACCTGGCCTGTTCACGTCAGAGCTAACTGGCTAATAACACTCGTCCTCCTGTTGGAGGCCCAGAGGAAAACTGTCCATCACACCCGGAAATCCAGGCTCTTTGCTAACTGAGATCCTCCGGGAGCTTTTGTCTATGAGAGGCCAGAATTGATATACTTTGCCTGTGACCAATAAATGTCATATTTGTACTCTTGATCTGCTCTGGTTTATCCTCAGGCTTCAAACTAAAGAATCGGGCTAACAAGAGGGTCAAAAGCTGATCGGCACCAGAAGGAACCAGCGCACATCGATGTTTCCGGCTAAACGACCTCCTGCCCAGAATTAAAAACAAGAAATCTAATCATGGAATGGAAGGTTCTCATGTTATTTGTTCATAAAAGACAAACAGAACTGATGTGGTGTACATACAGGATGCTAATGACTTCACATTTGATTTTGTTCATTATTTCTTCATCTGTTCTGAAAAGGCTGTTTAGTGATAGTGTAAGAATGTCATGCAAATGAAAATACGACTGAAATGCTTTAAGAATTTGTTGTCAAATGTTTTTTTTCTTTTCCACACACCTGTATTTTTGTTTCACATTCTCAGATTTTAACACGGAAACGTGAATGAGATGGTTCCCCTGACGATGACTTTTTGTGTTTTACGGATTTAGGACTCTCCAAAATGATGCACATATACTTTGGAACTAGATTTTCATTCAGCTTGCACAAATCTCAGCTTCAATCTCTTGTTAATTTGGCTTCCCTTGGTTTTTGAAGGTTTATTTTATCTTTTTAGTTCCAAAGAAAACTTACATAATTCTGGAGAGTCCTGAGCAGAAACCGGGACACGTTGGGTCCCTTTGCTATTGTGTCTCTTCTCCATTTTTAAACGAGCTTCTTTTGGCAGCTCCAGCAGGTTGGCTGCTGCCAGTCCATTTGCAAAAAATATGCAAACCTCTAGTGATTCAGCGCTCACGCTCACTTGTTTTTAAAACCTTTCCAATTTCACGACTTCATCCTTCTCCGTGGACTGGTTCATCCCTGCCACGTGAGCTAAAAAACAGCCGACGGCCGTCCAGCCGGGGGCTGGTTCCTCTCTCCCTGTAAAGGCCACTACAACGGGGAGTTTATTGGTCAGCTGCACCTCGTTTCTCCACCTCTCATCGGCCGCTGCTGACCTGCAGCCGGCCGATGAGGCGGCCAATAGCGTCTTTAATCTGGGGCTCAGCGGGAGTTCCTATCGCGATAAAAAACCAACAGTGTTCAATTTGTGGATTTTATGACGGTTTTTAGAGGAAACGCACACACACACAGACGACACATTTGGACTTTATGACCGTTCCAGAAATGTTTCATTAGAGGAAACGCGCACACACACGACACATTTGCCGACAAACCGAGTTCCCTGGTTTTCAGCCCGGCTCCGTTTGGACGTGTTCTTTAAATGAGCTCCCAGCAGAACTCGCATGTCCATGGCCTGGTTTGTTTAGTCGCCAGCTTTTGTGCGTCTTTATGTGTGTCAGACGCGACGGCATTGATTCCCCTTCGACTATTCTGGTGTCCAGCTGGAAAGATGAAAAGGGAACATCACAGAGCAACTGGAGGGGTGTTATCAAAAAAAGAGAAAGACTGGCAGAAGAGTGGATGCATGAGAAGAAAAAAAAGAAGAGTGCCTGCCTTTGGATTGGTTTTCTTATCTTTTTTTTATTTGTTTGTTTGAATGAGGGTTTATTCTCTGGTTGCATTCGTCTGTTCTTGACTTCCCCTTTTGTTTGTGGATCCCCGGGTTTGTTTGTGGTTCTGGTCCTCAGGTTCACATCTGGTCCCCACAGAATTCAGCCTCCTCGCTTTATCACAGTCACTGTCAGATCCTCGTTTTGACCTGATTCGCGACTGATTTCCTGTCATTTGTTTCCTCTCTTATCTGATGTCCACCACCTGGCTCATCTTTAGTTTAATTTGAACTTTTCTGGTTCTGCAATACCTTTGGTGTCAGTTTTCTTTCAAAATAAACCTCAGGTCTGCTGTCTACATTCAGGTCCTCTTCCCTCAGCTGCCACCAAACCATGACAAAGATGGCAATTAATCCCTTCACAGAATAGCTCAAATCATAGATTTAGTGTTAGTGACTGGAACAAATCCTTCATATCTTCAGTCCCACCTGGTCTGGTCACTCCAAACGTTGCACCCGGCAGATAAAGCCAACATTCCCCCCTAAGTCTGTGCATCTGCATGATTTTTCTGACACATTTGTGCTGAAATCCATCCCTCCAGTCAATGCGGGTCCCGTTTTGTTTAGTTTTTCTGCAGCAAAGCTCGTGGCAGAGCGAGGGAGTGGAAGGTGTGGTGACAAATCAAATCAGAGGCTTCCAGCGAAGCGACTCTCGGCGTTATTTCCTTTCTCATGATCACAAGTTATAGAGGCAGACCCTAGAAATGGCTTGAGTAGGCAGCATCCACTCTCAAATCTGCATTTTTAATAAAGCATTTTATTAGACGGAATGCGTTTAAGCCCTCGAGCTCAGAGTGAGTCATCTACATTGGCTCACGATTTTCCATGTTACACACATCAAATTGATTCAGCAGAGATTTAAAGTCCATTTTATTTATCATGACTCGGACTAGATTTCATTACCGACAAATATTTTTTTTTACGTGTTAAGACATGTTGTAGAAATAAATGACCCAAGCGGAAACAATCAAGGCCAACATGGTGAGCGAGTTAACAGTTTCTTTCATATTTCAAGTTTAATTGACGTAAAATCCATATCTAGCTGCTGTTGTCTGTAACTCCTGCTCTATATTTCCCAATCTGGCTAAACAACATCAAATAAATCTCGTTTCTCTTTTAAAGGGAATCAATGTTCTCTGCGGAAAAAATACAGAAAAAAAACTATCAGAAACATTCCAGTTCCTAGAGGTATGAATCAAATGCTGTACTCATTTCGTGTGCCTTCATCTTTAAAGAAAAAAACCTGCGGAGCTGTGGAGTGTTCGGATCCTGCTGCCGTTTGGCTCAAAGCTTCCCACACAGGGGCCTGTAATGGGTCTCCTGCATGTCGTGGAGGCGTTGATTGCAAAGTCTCCACTTGTTATCTCATTTTATGGCATATTTGAATGAAAAAGGAAACAGTCAATGGGAGAGACCTGGTGGATCTTTACAGACGGGTGCCGAAATGCAAAGTTAAGTCAGATGTCTCCCACAGGGAAGTACACATTTGCATTTAAAGGTGTATTTTTGGATTGTGTGTTGGTTTTTTCCATTTTCCTTATCTAATGTCTCCCCAGTCATAGCATCCTGTTTGATTCTTGCTTTCCTTTACTACTCGCCTCACCTGTTGTTCTCTTTGTAAGCACTAGTTTTCATTTCCATTTATTATTTTTTTTTAATCTATGCAAGTTTCTTACCACCTAGCAAAGTCCAGCATGCAACAGTGAGCTGAGGAGAGTTAGCGTAAGACGCATCCTTTTGGGACCAGAGTCAGAGAAGACCAAATATTTAAACATCTGTAAATTATTATAGAATAGCAGCGACATTTTGTATAGTTTGATCTGAGCAAACTGCTTGTCAAGGAGGGAAGCAAATTTAGTTTATGTCTGTCCAGCAAAGAAAGGCTGTAAAGTGCCCCGTTTCTTTGGTTGGACAGTGAAGTGGCCCTCAGAGCTGAAAGGCTGGAATACCAAATTAATCTAAGTATGTCTTTCATGCCCATTATAAAAACCTGTTGCAACCTTAACAGAACTTTTTTCTCAAATTAAACAATGACAAACCAGATGAATTAATCCATTATTGTAGGATTTCACCATCACGTTGTATGTATGTAAAAATTTTAATCAAACAACTTAATTATTAAGAAAAAGCAGTGTGGCCTGAAGGGATTTTTTTAGCTAATGATGCTAAGTGCTAAAATCCTGCTTTTTGCATCTCTAAACAAACCCACCCAAAGACGTGATCCCTCATGAGAAAGTTGGGTGTTTAATTCACACATGGCTGAGATTTTTCTGATCCAGTTTATGCCATCGTCGGTCTCTGTGGACATTTCCCTGCCTCCTCTGCTGGGACCCCACCTCATTACCTGCCTGCGGTGCGTGGCCTTTCACCGCCATCGCTAATCTGGACTGGGTGTGTACTCTGTGTGTGGTCTCCATGTGCTTGTTGCATTAAAAAAAAGGTCAAAAGGCCCTCCTCTTTCCAATTCCCAAAGCAGTTGTGTTAAAAGCCTGCAGATTGATTCTTTAGGAGTGGATGTGGAGTAGTGAGTGGCAGAGCCCCCCCGTGTCTCCACCACAAGTGCTCGCTTTGTGCCAGTACAAACGTCCAAACGCACAAACGCACACATCCACCGCAGCCTAGTGCGCAAGCACCCCCCCGAAGCACGAATTCATACAAAGAACCAATGGACACACGTCAGGTCCATGGCACATTAGCCCGGGTAAGATTAGAAGCAGACGCTGCACAGTTGAATGGCAGCCTGGCTTGACCACGAGCGCTTTAAATGGCCGCCGCTGCCCTTTGATCTGCAAAACATCTCTGTCTGTTTATTCCAAGCATTTCTAAGCTGACATTATTTGTTTGAGAGCTGGTTTCTGAGAGCAGACGGCGCACGCTGCTGCATTCTTGCGTTCACCAGCAGCTGCAGGACATGTGACTTTTTACGAACGGAAGGCTGCGGGTTCAAATCCCAACCGGAGACAAAACACTGTGGAACTGGAAATGTGACAGCGTGGAGGTGGCTAACAGGTCCTACATGTAAATAAGTCCCCCTCTGGGATTATTAAAGTATTTCTGATTCTGATTTTGATTAAAACTAACACAGTGTGGAGAGGTGTAGTTCTGAACAGCCTGGAAAAGAAATGACCTCCTGGAATTTGCTGTTCTGCCGTTGTTTATGTTGATGTTTGTGCATTCAGCAGACGATTTTATCCAAAGCGACTCACAACGCAGATACAAATCCCCAATTAGCATCAGAGCTAACAGTAGTCAGTGGGTGGTTAGGTACAGCCAGTGGAGCTCAACGTTCAGAAGGGTGACGTGGGACTTTTCAGGCTGACTGAAGACCAGACATGCCACCGTGTTCTGGATCATTACATCAAGCTGGGAGACCAATCAGGAGAGAGCTGTAGGAGTCCATAGAGATGACCAAAGACTGGCCAGGAGCTGGGGACATCATGTACGTCTGATCTTTTTTTCTGTTTAGTAATGCGAAGAGACGCGATCGAGCTACGTGAACTTTAAAGGTCAGCTGGTCATCAATCAGGACACCAAAGTTTCCAGGTGCCTTTGGTGGAGCAAGAGTCAGAGATTCAGTTTGGATGGGAATTATGTGGCGTGTGGTTGGTTTGACTGGAAAGACGAGCGTTCGGTTTTAGAGAGATTCAGTTGGAGGTGATGGGCTTTCGTCCATTTTGATTTGTGAGAGACACAGTCTGAGGAACATACTGAGACCGTGTGACGGATAGAGCCGGATATCATCAACACTGTCTGAAAGTTACCCTTTTCTTCTATCAAGGATACCCAACTGAAAACAGACAGTTTGTTTTTCACTAATTCAACCCAATGATACCACAGGCTTCACTTCATAGTAGATGTTTTGCTAAACACCAGAGCATGTTTTTTCTGTCAATATGTAAAGAACAACTGTTATTATAGTATATTAACATACTATAATAACATGATAATAACTATAATAATATACTATATTATTATAGCATATTAACATATACTGTAAGTACCTAGCATGTAGATTTTTAGTCACATAAACATGTCCGAGGCTGAGAGCAAACACAGCGAAGTCCCTGTGGAGTCTCTACTTTTAACAGAGGTTGTGAACAGGAGACTCACATCCCAAAAGCTGTGCCACCATGTCCTCATCTTCTTCTGTTTTCATCCTTTTAAATTCAGTATATATCAGATTATACCACCATCACCGCACGGTTAAGCAAAGCAACCCAGTTTTCTTGTTAGCTTTCAGAGCCATAACTTTCGGTTAGGCCTGAAAAGTCCTGGTTCGGAGGGCAATGCGGATTAAGAGTCACATCATGACAAGTCTCTGCCTCTCAGAGGGAACATCCTCTCGGTACTGGCTTTGATTCTGATCCCCACCTAATTCCTTCCTTCTGCTTTGGTGTGCCACCAAAATTTCAGCCCACACAGAAACAAACTAATCAGTGCAGAAGCCACATATTTAGTCCCCGTCGACGGCGGGGACTAATCCTGAGCCCGTGGCTGTTCCCGTCCCCTTCCAGCATTGTTTGTGCTATTAAACCTCACGTTGCTGGTAACTGAATACATTTTTTCCAACAATGTTCTCACTGACAGAGCCTGACCAGCTGACTGGGGCTTGTTGTCCTGGTTTGAAATACTTAATTCACACTTTCAAAGCGAAAAAGTCCACGTTTCAATCTGCTGTCTTAAAACTTCTCTGATTCTTTGATTATTCTAGAACTGTTTAAGTTCTATTCTTGTAATCCTGGTCAATTTAGAGCACCGAAAGAATCTGTACTGGATATCTTATGATGTCAAACCATAATCTTTATATCTGATCTCTGTGATTGTAAATGGATCTTTATTCGCGTCCCTTCTCTATCACCTTACTCCACTTCCTGCTCCTAATGGGGACGCCTTGTCTCCACTAAACCTGCTGGATGATAAATGATGAGATCCAAACAAATGCCTCCAAACTCATGCATTCAAATAGAACTTGGTGAGGGCATGAAAAGATTAGTGAAACCATCCTTGCCAAGAGAATTCAAAGCATTCAATAAGAAGAATTTAATCATTTTCAAAGTTCAACCTCGTTGCAATAACTCAATTCCAAATAGATGTTTATTTTTTCCCCTTACAGATATTATTTTGGCCGAATTTAAAATATTTACGATCAGTTTTAGGTTTCTTGCTTGGAAAAGACGATTTTTTTTCGTGTTTTTTTGTACAACTTCGTGTTTTATATAATAAAATCTTCCTTAACTTCCTTTCCTGTTACACCTGGGTTAGGTTTCTCATTTTACAACCCTGTTTTAACCCCCCCTCCATGTCCCCCTGTGTTTAGACTCCGGCTGTTCTCGTGATTTGTGCTCATGGCTCTTCTTCTGGTGGCCTCTGTCCCTCATCCATCCGTCACCTCTAAACTTCACCAGCTTTTTTCTTCAGTGTTTTTCAGCGATAAACAAGATAAAGACAAAACTTTTTGTCTCATTCAGACTTTTCAAACTTTAGTGTGCTGATTTGGTCCAGTGATTTGATTTAAGACTCTATTAAGTGATGATTTAGGAACTACACAGTGAATTAGCAACTTGTTCACTTTGCATTCAGATGAGACAGAAGAAAATAAGATTGCATGCATTCAGTTTAAAGTTGTCTAAACTTTTCAAGCTTTTCACCCTCAGGGAAACATCCGGAGAACAATAGAAAAAGATTTAGAGCATCCTACGTTCTCTAACGTGTGTCCATAAAACACCAAGAAGCATCTGACAACTTGGTCCAACGAGACAATTTGAATGAGTGAGAACATTTACTTGAACTCTGCTGGGAAGGTTCAGCTTCCCGCAGCTTTCTCAGTCTTGCTAAATGTCCCGGCTCTCAGCTGAATGCATTTATGTCAGAGTGTCTTCCTCACAGCGATTCTGTTATTTTTAGTCCCGATTCATTTCCACTCAACCCTTTCAGTTTCTCCTGCTCATATCAGATGAATGAGGAGCTTTATCCCGCAGCTGCTCATTTGTTTTCGGTCTTTTTCTCCTTTTTTTATTTCTCTCTTCTCCATTTCCCCTTCTCTCTTCTCGATGCGCTTGGTTTTTTTCCTCCTTTTTTTTGTCGGCCGTGCGCACAAGCTTGTGTTGTCTGTCAGCCAAGTGAGTTTTTTAAAGCAAGAACACACCAGAGGCAACAGACTATTTCTCCTTTTCTGTCACTTTTTCTAAACAGAGACCTTTGCTTTTGCAGCTTTCGGCCTCTTTTTATGACCCACCTTAATCCCTCATTTAAAACTCTATTTTTCTTTCTAATTGACCTCTGACCTGCTGTAGAAAAAAAAAAGGAAAATGAGAACACAGCTGGTTCTCGCGGTAGATTGCTGATAATTGTTGGAGTTATTTCCCATTTCATCTGAATGATGGCTCGGTTTGGCTGGTTTGTGCAGCAGCAGATTTCAGGTTAGTACCATTTTTCATCTACCATTCTGGAGAAATAATTGAGGTTATGCAAAGGCGTTAGCACAGAAAGACACCTTTCAGGGAGGGGACACCAAACTAATCACCTCGTTAAATATTTCAGGAAGACTTTCCAGCTTCTTTTATGCTTTCTTTCACATCTATAAGACATCTATTCTTTTAGAAGCAACTGACATGAGTCTTTTTTCTGTTTTCTTTATCGATAAATATGAAAAATTTGAAAAAATATTTTTTGCAACTCAAAACATTTCTGTAACTCAAAAGCACAACTCTTTTGTTGCTCCTGTAAAAATCTTTTTTCTGGTCTTTTTAGTCATCCTTCCTTTCCGTTTCATGTGTTAGGTTTTCTTTTCTTCCTGTCCTTGTTCTTTACCTGGTCTCCATGTTTTGACCCGTCACACACCTGACCCTCATTTCTCACGGATCCCCTCAGAGCCGAGTCCTTTGTATCATGGTTGTAATCCTGTTTGCGTAACGGTTCATATCAGCTCATTTGTCTTGTTTTTCTCTTTTTTTATGTGTTTTTGCTTCAGCAGCTTTTTGGACTTTTGTCTTTCCTGCTCACAGAGCACTGAAAAATTGTTTACATTTTTTGTAAAAACCTTAATTTTCTAATTTTGTTATTCATTGTAATGAAATAATAACATGGAAATAATAAATTGGAGAAAATCACAATCTTTACATTTTAAGGCCCATACTTGGAAACTTAAAATCCTGCTCTTGTCCATTTTTCCCCATCAAAACTTCACCCGTGTTCCTTAAAAATGCTCATTCTGCTTTTGAAAATTACGCTAATCTCAGTATTTAAATGACTCATATGCAGAGAAAATGAGACTATTTTTCTCTTGAAAAATTCCTTCATGTTCCATTTTCCACAGTAAACGTTCTCTCACTGATGCGGATAGCAGACTTTCCCTTGTGGTGATTTATACGTTGTTTTCTTTTTCTTGGACTGTTTTTTTTCTTCGCTTTTCTCATAAACTCTATTTGGGATGCTGGGAGCTACAAATGACAGCACCAGTTTTCCTCCGTAAAACAAAATGGATGAGACGGAGATGGATTTTCCATCTCAGTTTCAACCTGAAGCTAAAATGCTCTGGCCGTCCGGGTTGGGAGAAGAGAGGCGCTGCTCTATTGGGTTTCCACTGATATTGCTCATACTTTTAGTTAATATAGGGCTCATTCACAGAGCATGTTTTAGACCCTTTAAATGAACATTTCAGGCACTTTTTTCCAACTTCTAAAAAGTAACCCTGAAAGGATCTGCGTTCTGTTCTAATTTTATTTCATTTTATATGATAGTATTAACAACCTGTGGTAATAATTTAATTCACAGCCACAAAAAAAAAAAGCCGTGACATGCTTGTGTAACAATCACATAATCTAGGAGTGAAATATTGTCCGAGCAGTATTTGCTTTTCATCGTTCAATACACAGAAAAAGAAATATGGCCGAACACAGCAGAGAAACAGGCCGCTGTAAACAGGCCTTTTCTCTGTTCGGCTGATTAAAATACAGATCAGACCGTTTTGCCTGTAGATAAAACCCCGGAGGTCCTCCACAAAAGCAAGGACATCTTTAGTTTGTAAAAATGAAAGAACATTTCTCCTCTCCTCTGCCCCCTAAATAAGTCCAACCATCTCACCATGGAGGGGTTTTTGAAGGAAAGGCAAGTATTTTCCACACATTCTGCTTGATGTTCTGGGTTCAAGGTGAGCACGTCCACACAAAAGTGAACAGATTCATTTCATGCAGCCTAATAAAAAAAAAAAACCCATCTGCAGTTTCAGAGGAAACCAGGGGACAACTTTAAGGGAAACGCGCACAAAGGATGTCTTGGAAAGCTTTTTTTCAGGGAAAACGTCCACGAATTCTGACACATGAAGACAGGAAGACAGACAGTTCAGCTCCATCGAGCCACAACAAAGAGAAAAGTTAGATATCTTATGAGTCATCCAGTGCTAATCAGTGTTTGAACAATATTAGACTGGACTTGGACAGATTTTTGGCCAATATAATGAAAATAATATTAAAACACATTACATTTAATAGCAAGTTTCATCCACTCTCAAACACAGCTTGCTAAATATTTTTCTCTGAAGTGCTTAACTGAGTAAAAAGGCAGGGCCACAAAGGCAGGCCACAAAGTCAGGCCCATCCCAAAAATCCGCTCCTTTTCCTCAGCTCAGCTGAAAAATCTGCTCATTTAAAGGATGAACTTCACTGAACTGTTATGTGTGTGGTCACCGCTTTTTTCTTGTTAAGGGTCAGTCTCATAAAACATAAAACATAGGGAGGGGCAACCTTTAAACAAGACACAGAGCTCTGAGAACAGAGCCAAAGGAAAGCCAAAAGCAAAAATAAATAAAATCTTAATTCAATTTTAGCTTTTTTAATCCTGATTTAATTTGAAATTCGCTTTTTTGTTGATGTTGTTTCTTGCCCAAACTCTACAACCTTTACTCCATCATATCGTCTTTATTTAAAGAAACAAACTGAGGTGGTCCCCTGCTAAATAAAGTCATAAAGTGGGCTATCTCTGCCCCCCCGGGCAGGCGGGGGACGGTCCAGGCCTGGTTAGCATATCAAAGGTCAGCGTACTTCAGAAGGAGCCAGGAGCACCCTGCTTTCACTATCATGGTTTGTGATGCGTTTGCTGATTATTCCCGGTCCACAGATCCCCGGCAGAACCGGGAACCCCCCCCCCCCCCCCACCTCTGATCGTGGAGGGGGCCCTTCCTGCATTGCGTTTGGCATTTGGCTGTGGAGTACAGATGATTTCTTTTAGATCTACCATCTAAAAGATGATTCCAGCTGAAATGTGTGACAGGTTTTTACTAATATTATCTGGAACTGGAGCCTTTTTCTGGGGAAAAGTCAGCACATGGCTAACGGCTCTGTAATAGTAGAAGTTTTAGATAAGGAGCTGGGATTTGGTACTTTGGTGGAATTCCTCAGTCCCTCAGGCTGTTAAGGGGTTTTGATAAGACTGTAGCTGATATCAAAATCTAATATGTGCAACTGGAAAAAAGAGACAAAGTTTTCTCTAAGAATCAGTCGGAAGTCCATGGAATTCCTGACTTAATGATGGGAGCCACAGGGGAGTGTTTAGGATTAGAGTCTTCTGTTTTGATGTCCAAAATTTAACCTTTAATCTACATAAAAGTGTTATTTTTAGTATTTAGTGTTCCTTTAGGCTGTTGAGTTAATATTGGGTCATCAAAGCTAAATTTGCAAAGAGAAGAATGAGTTTCTCTTAAATTTGTTAAACTTGACAATTTAGCTTTTCGGCTAAATCCTTTGTATGAGGCCTAAGACTCAGACATCATTCATGTGGGGATTTGAGGAGTAAATAAAAAACAGCAACCTGGGGAAGAAAGCCGGATTGTTGGAGTCCAAAAGCAAAGCTTTCAGTAATTTTTTCTCCTGTTTTATTCAGCTATTGTTTTCTGTGGTATTGTCATAAATTGGGTCAGAATTATTGATTTCTCTGGTATTTTAAATGAATAAAAAAGTAAACTGCTATTTGTCTTTCTCCCATAAACAATCATCCACCCCAAGAGTTCATCAAATTATGTTTTTAACAATGCTGAATGACTCAAAATCAGCAGGAAACGAGTTAAACACACACAAAAATCCGATCAAATATGACAGACATTAAAACTAGTAATAATTCAACCGACAAACGATTATCAAGCAGCAACACATGTCAGAAAATAGGACGGAACAAAGACATGCTGGTGTGATGCTCGGGAGAGGCTTTATTTCTGGAAAACACGCTGTTCTGTCATTGTTTCAGCCCATAAGTCTCTGTTAGTGTGTCGCCGTGGTGGAGTTTATCGCTCTCTGGCAGATGGATTCCTAAACACGGAGGAAGTTTTGGCTCCTCGTGAATGTAATTAACCGGGATTACCAACATCCAGAGTGAAATCAGCCAGGGCTGGGCTCCAGTTTTTCAGCCTTTGTCTCTGAGCGAACGTTAGCCCGAGCTTGTCAAAACACTTTGGAAACAAAAGTGAATTAGGGTTAGTATCAATGAGGAGAAAAAAAGGATACAAGTGTGGGAAAAGCAGCTATCCTGAGCCAGAGATCTCTTCCATAATAATCATCAGTGGTTTGAGTGATACCTTCATTAACTCATGCAGAAACCCTCCGGTTTGACATAAAAGGAAAATCACAGGCGCTTTTTTCCTGTGTCTCAGTCTTTAACTTGACTTTCAAACGGTCTGACACAGTAATTATAGATGGTTAACAAGCCAGATGGTGAGCTAACAATTAGCACGATGTAGCGACATTTCCATTATTATAGTTTGTTGTTTTTTTTTGCTTATCCGCCCTTTCGATCAGACCTTTCAAACAAATCTAAAACAACATAAACATTTATTTTTTACTTCTTTCCAGCCTCATAACAATGAAACTAAAGTATGAAAGTATAGAATTAACTCTAAAATCGCACACAGCAAACATGAGTTGCTTTTTTTCTGGACAATTAAACTGAGAGTGTTTCCATAGTTGTGCTGAGAGTCCAACAACAGATAAAGTAAATGGGATTGAAGTGAGCGGAAGAGGGGAGTGCACTCTATGGGAGGTGTGATGGGACTCTGGGGGCACGGAGAACTTATGGCTTTGCCCCGGCTCTGAAATGGAAGCGGAGCTATGGTAGGGCACGGAGGCGGGCGCACGGACAGAGGAGTTCAGAGCTCCACCGGCCAGATAATCAAATGTAAAGAGCATTTCCTCACTGATGCTGCTGAGCGGTGCATCCTTTGTTTGCCTGAATTAGAATTCCATCTGCCTTTGTTCCTCTGAGAGCCTCTGCGTTGATAAAGGATCTACTAAAGACATGTAGCCACTTACAGGGAGTGAACTGTGAGTGTAATGCTGATCTATTGTAGATTAAACCACTTCTCTTCAATGAGTCATCATAAAGCCCATTCTTGTGCTACGCGGAGTGAAAATGCAGCATTTATAACCTTCGTTTTGCTTTAACTACTCAACAAGAAGCTGGGTATTTTTTTTAATAAGAGAAATATCTATTAGAGAGCTTCTACAGGTGGAGGAAATTCCTTTTGCAGCTGTGGAAATGAGGCACTGTGACTAAACCCTGACCTCTCTCAGGAGAAAAATACAAAAAAGGGTTGCTTTGCAAAGAAAGACCCACTTAAACTTTAGAAGGCCGTCTTAAACCAAATCCAATAAAACTTTTGTGAACTTTCTGAATGCTGGCTGAGAAAAATAGATTCGTGTCGAATTTACTCTGAGCCATCGCTCAAAAATATGAACCCAAAAACACGTCGTCCCACTGAAATATGAGCGCTTACGAGCCATTTCCCACAATGAGCCTGAAAAAAAAACTGATGACCGACTCATAACTCAGAGCTGGAAAAACGCTCCCAGTCCAGCCCGGACTGGACCCCCTCATTAGGACTGGGTCCTGCCCGGACATTCCCGTGAAACCGGTATCCTTAAACACCTGTTTAAATGGATTACGCCGCACGTGGTAATTATTATCCCCGCGTGTGGGCTGGGATTAGGGACATCGGTCCAGTTGGCACAGCTGTGCATGAGATCAACCCATCGGACATATTCATCCTCCTGTAACGTGAGGAGTACCAAAGACCAGGCCTTAGCATTACTCTGAGCAGCAAACTGACCCGGACAGTTCAATTCAATTCAATTCAATTTTATTTATATAGCGCCACATCACAACAACAGTTGTCTCACAGCGCTTTCCAAACAGAGCAGGTCAGACCCTACTCTGAAGTTATTTACAGAAACCCAACAATTCCCACCATGAGCAAGCACTAGGCGACACAGGCAAGGAAAAACTTCCTTTTAACAGGCAGAAACCTCGAGCAGAACCATGGCTCAGGGTTGGCGGCCATCTGCCTGGGACAGGTGAGATGTCAGAGAATTAGCCGGCACCCTGATAAGAAGCCGGTACTTAAATCGACTCTCTACCTTCCCCCCCTTGCTGGGACAAGAGGAGCTGAACGGAAAAGAGTCCGTGTATTTGCCCCCAAAGATTTACTCGTGTTTCCTACAATTAAAAACCGGTGGCAGAGGTTCGTCTTTCCCCATAAGCCTTTGGGTGGACACTGAGGTTTTGAGGTCAGCCTCACCGGTCCAGAGCGATGCAGCACAGGTGCAGGATGGAGGCGGTGGTCAGCAGGACGTCCAGCGAGGTCCGGACCAGGCAGAAGGTCTCGCCGTAGATCCAGTGCTGGTGGACCAGCTCGATGGCCCCGAACGGCATCACCAGCACGGACACCAGCAGGTCGGCGAAGGCCAGGGACACGATGAAGTAGTTGGTCTTGATTTTCCTGAAAGAGAGAAGGAACACGCAGGATCAGTAACTACTTTCCAAGAGTGATTCACTTCAGAGGGGCAATTATTGCATCTCAGATTTACCTAACACGCACAAATGAACTGACAGCTTCGTGAGGGAATAATTACACTCTGGAGCGGCCTTTTGTTCTGGCACGATGAATGAAAAATAAAAAACTTCAAGTGTTTTCATCTGTGATGTTTTTTAAGGCAGCTGATCAGAGTTCCATTAAGCGCAATTATATAAAAAAAACACCAAAACAGCTCAAAAGAGGTCTTAGCCATTAAAACAAAGCACAACGTCGTGTTTTTAGTTCATTGTTTCTGCAGAAATGATTGTGTATTCTCTGAAAAAAGGCTTAATGACACATTTTAATGTGTAAAAATAGAAATCTCTGCTTTTTAAATAAACATTTCTGTCACGACACATTGAATAAAACTGAAATTTCTCTGGAACCTGTGTTGATTTAGTTTAACATATCAATGTTAGTTGATAGTCAAGTCAACTTCTGTGTGTCGAGTGGCCAAAATGGCATAATAAGACCACTAAATTGGGCTGTAATTAGGAGAAATATGCAGAGAGAAAAATCAGCCTTGAAATGAAATGTGGACAAATTCCTGCATCAATCCTTCCCAGGTGAGTGGAGCCTCGAGCATCAGCAGCATATTAACACGTTTAGATCATATTGATCTAAATGTAAATCAAAGGAAACCTTTCTGTGTTAAATGAACATTATCCTAGTTTTTTTCTTGTTTTTCTGTAGATAGAAGCAAAGAGGAAGGATAAATGGGAGACAATCTGACATTGGTTTCATTCTGGGGAACAAAAGTAACAAAGTATTTATTCTGAAAATAATGAGACGGAGATAATAAAAAAAAATTGGATTCCTCTGACAGCCTACAGAGTCCTTATTCTTTTTTTCTGTGGTGAGACGTGATTTTCTTTCTCTGAGAAACAAAGCAGTGGGAGACAAGGCCACGCTGTTAATGCAAGTTATTACAGAAAAAAAAACTATTTTGGTGACCTCAAACGTGTTCTTTGCCGAGAGATCTGTGTTTAGAAGTGAGTCTGAGTACAACTCTTGCTTTGTTTCACAGGCTGATGCAATAGACCCAAAGGCGAGAAGACGCTGAAACCTAAAAACCAACACTTTGAGGGCTCCATTCAGTCTGACGTGCATGTTTTGGGCTGGTGGGATAAAGCTGGAGATCCTGGTAGAGAACCCATGCATATATGTAAACTCCACGGAGAAAGAGATCAGAGAGGATTACAGCAGGGACCCTCCACATCCACCAGTTCTTCTAAAAGCCACAAAGGACACCTGAAAAGACCCCCAAACCCCTTTTCCTTATATGGAGATTCCATCATGTAGAGCTTTGAGATAAAAAAAACCCCCAAAACAAACTAAAATAAAAACGAAAAACCTCAACCTCTAACACAGGTGAGGCCTTGTCTGATGTAACGAGACCACTGAATCCTGTTTGCCTCCACCAATCAGGTCCGTTGTGCGTTCGTTTTTCACGAAATGCACAAGCAAACAAAGAGGTAGAGGGAACCAACCACACGGCGTGGTGCTCTAGAGTGGGTCGATTCCCAGCCTTATCACACTGTCACACAGGCTGGGAGGCGAAAAACACGAGTTCTGCTGTCGGAAAAATGTAGAAACCCTTTTAACAGCGTGAGGAACAACAGTCAGCCTGCTCCACTCAGCAAACAGACACACAAAGGTGCGCGCAGTCCATCACTTTGTTGAGCTCTACTGTCACACAGCCGTACACAAAGAGAGGACTCCGGCTTCTCCCCCAGCCGGCCACAAAGCCAGCGGGGGGGCTCTCTAAGAACCGAGCAGTGAACTGAGGAACAGCATCAGTTTTCCTCCATTAAACACAATGGAGGAGATGGATTTTCCATTTCAGTTTCGACCTGAAGCTAAAATGTTTTGGCTGCCTGGGTTGGGCGCTTCTCTATTTGGTTTCCATTAATATTTCAAATCCTTTTAGTTAAGACAAGGCTCATTCACAGAGCATGTTTTGGCCCCTTTAAATGAACATGGCAGGCAGTTTTCACTGACTTCTACGAAGTTGCACCTGTTACTGTGAAAGTAGCTGCATTCTATCCATCCATCCATCCATTTTCGTAAGCAACCCCTAATGGGGTCCCTGGGGGACTGGAGCCTATTCCAGTAGTTAATGGGCGAGAAGTAGGGTACACCCTGGATGGTCCAACAGTCCATCACAGGGCCACACAGAGACACACAAGGACCAACAACCACTCACACTCACTCCTGATGAACATTTGGAGTTTCCAATCAACCTAACATGCAGGTTTTTGGACGGTGTGAGGAAGCCGGAGAACCCAGAGAATCCACGCAGACACAGGGAGAACATGCAGACTCCACCCAGAAAGGTCCTGGTTCCCCCGGGATTTGAACCCAGGACCTTCTTGCTGTGAAGTGATGGTGCTAACCACCACACCATAGCTGCGTTCTATCATAATTTTATTTTGTTTTTAGTATGTTTATGTTTATGTTTATGCATTTGGCAGACGCTTTTATCCAAAGCGACTTACAGAGTAGACACAATATTACATTTCTCATCACTATGACAATAAGCTATATAGAACAGAAACACTGATCAGAGTCAGTGGTGAGATAGAGATAGAGGTAGAGGGACTACAGAAAGAGCTGTGGGGGGGTAGAGGTATGGGTTAGGGTTAGGATAGGAGATTCTCTTTGAAGAGGGGGGTCTTCAAGAGTTTCTTGAAGACAGACAGGGACTCTGCTGTTCTTGTGGAGCTTGGTAGGTCGTTCCACCATCTTGGAACGACACATGCAAACAGTCTGGATGGTCTTAAGCTGGTGAAGGCTCTGCTAGACCACAATCCATTGATGACCGGAGTGATCGAGTTGTGACATAAGCCTTTGCAAGGGGATTCAAGTAGATGGGAGCCATACCCTTAAGCACTTTGTAGGCTAGCATCAGGGACTTGAATTTGATACGGGCAGCCAGAGGTAGTGGAGAGGCAGTGGGCCACAAAGCCAGCGGGTGTCTCTCTGTGTGTGAACCCGTCCCCGCTGTGAACTGGGGAATCACTTTGTGTCTGCGCTAGACAAGCAGGCGGCACAGCGGCCAGTCGTCCCGCTCTGCCGCCCTCTGCGCCGTGGATGGCCTGCGGGCTAAAAATAGCCTCAGCCAGAGCAGGCGGCTTCTCCTGTCCCTAACCCAAACAGCCCCCGAAAAGCTCAGTTAATGATGGAACCAACCAGCTGTCTGCTGGGGGGGTTCACGTAAATCTGGCAGTGCTGAGCATCCCCACAAACACACACACACACACACACACGCGTCGCACACACAAGTGCACGTGAATCGATGTAATCAGAGACAAGTGCCGGGCATCCACACACAATCTGGAGATGAATGGGTTTGTGTTTACATATAACACACACACACACTCGCACAGTCGTGCGGGCAGTAATTCAGAAGAGTTTAGAAACCATTAACGGGCCCCATTGTGTTTAGTTGGGATGACATATTGTGTTAAGCTTAAAGTGCTATGAATAAATAAACTTTATTGGAAGGGACTGCGTTCGGGAGACGTCGCTTAGGTCAGCGATGCTGAAACAGGGAAAGACGTGATCTCAGCAGAAGCTGCAAACGGCTGACTATTTCATGCGAATGTTTTTCATCCACCCTGATGGATTTATTTATGATGATGATGCATGTATTTATGGTGATGCCGAGATGTGTTCCTGACAACATTCTGCAGCCGCGTACGTGCAGCTCCTTCTCCCAGCAATAACAACATGACAGGAAACCTAAATAAACAGAATATGCTCCTCTACTAGAATATAATTAGTTAATATTAATGAGGAGTGATATCATAAAGACATGGCTGAATGTAACAGAATAAAAAACAAACAAGAACATAAAAAAGTTAAAGTTAAGTAAATGAAAATCGAGAATTATGATTCTGGAAAAGTATCACAAGAAAAATATTTGGACGAATCCAAACAACCGAAAAACTACAAAGATACGTTGAAAAGAATGCAAAAATGAGACATTCATATTTATTTTTGTTTATTCGAATGGTCATGAATAAATGACTGAAATCAAATCTAAGTTTCTTAAAAAAATCTCACCTTAAATTGAGAAATGTTCTTTCTTTCTCACATTATAATCGAGCTGCATTCGCTCTAAGCAGGAATAAAAAAAAAGTCTCTCCATACATCAGATTGTCATGAGCGCTTTTACAGTTAACTCAGTTTTAGTAAGAAATCTTCCACAAGTTTAAATCTGACTCCTCCTTATGTTCAAAAGTCAAAGAATGCCCCAAAAGGTTGAACTTTCCCCATTTGAGAAAAACAGCTGTTTCTCCAAAAACTTAAAGATCATTACTTAAAAATGGTGCGACTAAAAGGCCTCCTCTTCTGCCCTGATCTGGATGCACGATGCAAATGTGCAGAAAAGAGGGCCAAACCAGAGATGGAGAATATTTAGTTCACACTTCACCTACTATTGTGTATGCTGGTTCAATTGTGAGACAACGTGCTTCTGAGGTATCTCTACCCACATTTACGTTTGCTGGGTTTATCAGCAAAGACAAAATAGCCTTTTTAGAAATACGTTTCAGCTAGACGTTTAACTCCCTCATGTCCTGATTATCAGGAGGAACCCGCATTCCTGACATCATAACAGTGTGACTGCTTCCAGAGCCGCTCAGCGTTCAGTGTAAACAGCCTGCAGACTGTGTGGCAGCAGGGCATGCTGGGAGCCGCCAGAGGAGGTGTTAATGATGAGTTCTTTAGAGCCCCCTGATCCACCTTCTGCTGCTATCTGCTCCAACGGAACCATTTGAGGGTCAGTGGTTAGTCCTCACAGCCTAGGTTCAAGTCCCTCACAGCCAGAAGGTCCTGGGTTCAAGTCCCTCACCGCAAGAAGGTCCTGGGTTCAAGTTCCTCACACCCAGAAGCTCCTGGGTTCAAGACCCTCACAGCCAGAAGGTCCTGGGTTCAAGTCCCTCACAGCCAGAAGGTCCTGGGTTCAAGTCCCTCACAGCCAGAGAGTTTTGCGTTGCAGTCCCCGGAGGATCCAGGACCAGAGGGTTCTGGGTTGGAGTCCCGGGGGAACCAGGACCTTTCTGTGTGGAGTCTGCATGTTCTCCTGTGTCTGTGGGTTCTCTCCGGGTTCTCCGGCTTCTTCCTACGGTCCAAAAACCTGCATGTTAGCTTGATTGGACATTCCAAATTGCCCTTAGGAGTGAGTGTGAGTGGTTGTTGGTCCTTGTGTGGCCCCATGATGGACTGGTGGACCGTCCATGATGTACCCCACCTCTCGCCCATTGACCACTGGGATAGGCTCCAGCCTAAGTGGTTACAGTGATGGATGGATGGTTAGTGGGGTGCTTGTTGGGGTGTGTGAAATGCCTCCAATGTTGCTGAGCAGTTTCTGTCCTGCCGGCCGGATAGACTTCAGTTGCTGTGTACCAGACCGAAAGTTTCTCTGAACGTTTGAAGGTTCAATCCAGTCGCACAGGATTTGCAAAAACTTTACTTTTGCCTGAATTTGCAGCCTCAGCTGTTTTTCTAGATCTCGGGTGGCAGGTGTCGCAGATCCAAATTCCAAATGAAATGCAAATTGTTGCTGACTGTTCTGTTTCGCTAAATCAAATGTAATTTGGAGGGTAAACAGATCCTTTGCCCGATCAGAGAAGCAGATGAAGACAGTTAGTTGGCCGCAATGCGAGGACGTAATTAAGGCTGCCAGTCAAATTTCAAGCAAAGGGAAGCAATGCATGAATAAACCAACATGATGGAGTGGCCTAATGACTTTAAACAGCTAATATAGTAACTCGGTGCTCCTGGGAACGCCCCGTTAACTACTCTGTCCGCGCTCAGTGGCTGTACATCATTATTTATTTGTTTGTTTTTAGCTCTTCTGGTTGATGACTTTTTCTGCCTTTTGTGTTCACATTTTTTTTTTTGCTGTTATGAAAAAAGGCTTAAGATTTGAGCTCCTGCGTATTAATCTATGTTTGTTGGTTTACTTCCTGTTTGACTGGCTCTCGTTGCTGATTGCCACATGTGAACTTCGTTTATTATCAGTTTGCTAAACGTATCCTCCAGGATTTTGGTCTTTGCCATAAAATGAGTAATCTCCTGCCATGATTTGTGAGAGATTTTTTTGTCACCATTGCAACAGCTTTTTAAAATTCAAATAAAAGATGGCCTTTCCTTCTTCCTGTTGGATGGGGGCTGGACTTCTCAGTCTCATTTTGAACTCCTTAGTTCTTTATATTTTGTTGTCCTATTATTGATGGTATATTTAACAAAAAATCTATTTACCTATCCTCTGTATTTAATTTGTTGTTGTTATCCCGGACGCTCACCCAAGGGATCCCTTGAAATGTGCAGATGTGCCTGTTTTTGCAGTTTGTAAGTATGTTCCCATTTGAGTGTTTTCCCCGAGGACTGTGAAACAACGGGAGGGGGGGGGTCAGTCAATGCTCTCTCCTCTGGGAACTGAAACACCGCAGCAGCAGTGACTTTCACACACCGGCGTCCTCACAGACATGCAAAAAAACATCAACGTTTTCTCCGAAAAAGATTCTTCTGACAGACACATCAGCCTGCGGCGGGACAAAGGTCCCCCTGAGCCTTCAGGTGAGGTGAAAAAGAGACAGAGAGAGAGACGGAACGAGACAGAGAGAAGAGGACGTGCAAATGCCACGGCTCTGCTTGTCACCTCAGCCGCGTGGTTTTCTCTTTGTCCTGATCTGAGAGGTTTCTGGGCGGGTTATTTTCCCATCCTGTCCTCTGTTTTTGGGGTAAACCTTCAGCTTCGCCCTCCGATTGCTATATTTGGGACTCCTTACCACTCGCTTGTACTTAACCCTATGCGAAAGGACATTATAGCTTTCACTTCCTCATTTGGAAGTCTGCTAAATGTCTTTCTTTCTGCTGGTGGCTCAAACACGTCATGTTTTTATTTTTTAAATTGAGAAATTTAAATAGACATTGAGGGGATGAACGGTCAATTTTTTTCAGAAAAGGCAATCTTTCATATCCTGTTTAATTAATTTAAAAGTAGCCAACTGATTACGTGCCTGTTTCTGCTGTAACTTTTATCTTGTTGGGGTGCTCTTTGTCTAGTACACTGCTATCTGCAAATGTATGCTGAAAAAAAAGAAGAAATGGGATCTCAATGCTTTGGGAAATGATATTGTAGTGTGTTCTTTTACCAGTAAAATGATTTTGTAAAAAAAAGAATGATATAACAGGATGTGTGGCGAGGGGAGTAGGTTGGGGTTGGGGGGCGGGGGAGGCTCCCACATCAGGGACCGTTGGCAGGTCAGGCCCTGTCACCAGCTCTCTTCACGCACTGCTGCTGTTTCTCGTCTGAAATGGAGCATCAGTTTTTCTAATGAAACTGTTCAAAAACATCTCATTTTGCCATCCAGTGGTTCCTGCAGCGCTTTGGGTTCCCTGATGGGAGAAACCATTTCAAAGGTGACAACAGCAGCAGGTGCCTCGCTTCACTGCGCCATCTGGACAGTCAAACCTCTACCCATCACAAAATGAACCGAGCCGAGCCGAGGTGAAATATACACAGAGGCATTTTCTCGATTTAAAACGTCAACCCACCAATCCAGAGGGCCATAAGGCCATTTCCCAACTATCTGGAGTCCATCATCCTACTGAGAAAAATATAATTTAAAGGTGGAAAGCTTTCAGGACAGCTGTCAGTCTGCCCAGGAGTGGACGTCCAAGCCCCTTGGTCACCCCAAAGTCAAAAGAAAGGGAATATCCAAAAGGTTATCATGTACAGACATGTGAAATTTTTACAATTGAGTTTTTCTGGTCTGACTGTGAGGCGGTGTGGTGCTGTGGTCAGTACCATTGCCTAATAGTGAGAAGGTCCTGGGTTCGAGTCCCAGGGGAACCAGGACCTTTTTTGCCAGAAGGTCCTGGGTTTGAGTCCCGGAGGAACCAGGACCTTTCTGTGTGGAGTCTGCACGTTTTTCCTGTGTCTGCATGGGTTCTCTCCGGGTTCTCCGGCTTCCTCCCACCGTCCAAAAACCTGCATGTTAGGTTGGTTGGACATTCCAAATGTCCCTTGGGAGTGAGTGTGAGTGTGTGTGGTTGTTGGTCCTTGTGTGTCTCTGTGTGTCCCTGTGATGGACTGGTGGACCATCCAGGGTCCCCTCTCGCCCACTGACCACTGGGATAGGCCCCAGTCCCTCCTGCGACCCCATTAGGGAATAAGCGGTTACGATAATGGATGGATGGTCTGACTGTCGGTTAGAGGAAACACAAAATGCTCACCTGAGTTGCCTGTCCTTGCAGACAGCCACCATGACCAGCAGGTTTCCCAGGACGCTCATCAGCATGACCAGAGACAGGAAGCAGATCAGAGCGATCCGCTTCGGCATGCTATCACTGTGGAAATGCAAAAAAAACAACAATAAAGAGATGGAAAAAGGACCAAAAACACGGGAGTTCAAACGAGCACAGAGAGGCTCCTGCACTTGTTAGAAAAACCCATAAGCGTTATCTATCTGTTTAACTGAAGGTTGCTGGAAATAAAACATTCAGATGCCAATGAGAAGTATTTACATCTCACTCTCCGAGCCAGCCTGCTAGTTTGGAGGCAAAGAGCCGAGCGTTAAAACAGGAGAAAAAGGAGCAGCCGCCGCGTAAAACGCCAGAAAGCCGTTTATTCAGGTGAATATCTCATGTCCCACGCTTACTGATTGCACCCACCCACACAGGCACTCAGAAGGTTTAATATCACAGGCGGTAATAGGCTTCGCATTTGTGGCTGATTAGTGATAGATGGAGAAGGAAGTGTGTGTTAGCCTGAGCTGTGACAGCAGCTGCATCCGGGCAGAAAAAAGAAACCAGAGCCACCTGCACAAATGTCAAGCCAGAGTGGGTCCGCATCCCCGATCCTCCTCCTCACCATTTGGGAAAGACATTTTTCGGCTTGTTTTTCTTCCAGGCAGAAGCGAGTTCGCTGATCTTTTTCGCAGCGACAAACCCACAAAAAGGCTGTAGGTATTGACTTCTTTGCTCTTGTTTCTGAGAGGACTGAAAGGAATCAGACCTTTTTATCGCTGACCACAGATCAAAGCAAACCAAACTGGGAGAGGTGGTGAAAGATCTTGGGTTTCCACAGCGACGGCTCTCGAATGACGTGGGTTTAACCCCGTTTTTAACTGATGAACACATTTCGGATTTCACATGAGAGCAGCTACGAACTCCGAGTGGAAGCGGTTCATTAGAGCTTGTCTGTGAACTGTGGATCAGAACCTTCAGCAGACACCCAACAGAAAAACATTAATGACTTCTGTCACTCTCCATGCTTAGCTGGTGAGCTAGTCACTCATTTTTCTCTAACTAGTCGCACTCAAGACGCAAACAACCAAAGGTTTTGCTACAGGTGGACCTCAACAGTTCACATTAAAACCCTTTAAACGTACTGACTGCATTTCGGTTGGAGGTGCCTTCAACATCTCCCACACTTTTTATACCTGAGGTCATTTTCAAAGGACGCTTTGAACAGAAACGGCTCTATCTTTCATTAACGTGGAGAAAAATACCAAATGGACGTTTTTCTATTTTATTTCTCCCGACCCAAGCCGGTAACGTTTAAGATAGTAGCTGCTGATTCAAGATCCTGTCAGGGAAATTGGATTCAGCCACACTGGAAAACATTTACATGTAACCTTGGTGGAGGAAAAGCATCCATCTCAATGGATTGGCGCGTAAATTGCAGGTTTGTTTGACATCAGAAATGCATTAAAGTAATCCCCAGGGCTGTTGTCTTTTGGCGTTTGGCGCTTGTAAGCAAACAAGTCGTTTTTCATTTTGAAAAAAAAGTTTCAGAAAGGAGGAATCTTGTATGCCCCACAATGGGAAAAAGCTAGCACGAGGCTGTGTTAGATTCAGGAGCCGTGCCCCCGTCTGCCAAATGATTTGACTCACGTCGTCTGAGGTTCAAAGCCAAAGTGACAGTGTGCAAATGAGGCTTGCTCTTTGATCAGGGCTGCCAACGCACTAACCTGATCAAATGGATCAGTGAGCTTCTCAGCAGAGGTCCCATTACCAAAAGTAGCAGGAAAATGCCTCAGTGGAGCCACCTTAATCTTCTTTGATCTCCAAATTTCTCCCCCTTCCTAGAAATCAGTCATTGATATGAAAAAAATAAAAAAAATCCAGGAACGTCTCGCTTTTACCCCCGCTGGGTTTAGAACAGGCAGCATCAACTGGAAGGGGGCTCCTTTGAGTTGGACAGAATCGGTCAGAAGCAGATTCCCCAGCGGTGCTTTCAAATCCCAGATCACCGTGTAACGTGTGTTACGACCACACTATGGAAACCCAGGGGGGCTAGACGGCGGGGGGGCTACAATAATTAGAACCGGGAAACAGGATATCAAATCATCCAGGAATATGGTAGCAAACAATACATTTTTTTTATAAATGGAAAAACTCAAAGAGATGACGACGCCACCACGTCCACCAAAACCTATAAGAAGGGTCACGGCCCAGAAACAAGCTCCAAAGACATGAGGGTGGGGGTGGTGGGGGGGACATAAGGAACTGGAGTGAGTCTCCTGCACAGATTACATCTATGACGTTGAGTCAGAGAATTGAACACACCCCACATCTGGTCCCTTTTTGCCGGAGAACTCTATCGATCGCCGATCCCTGGAAGTCTAATCAATTTATCCATGAAGCCTAGATTTCCAGTGTGGTTAAAAAAAGCCACAATCTCCGATAAAAGCAACAGAAAATCCCCGATGTGGCACACCTAATAGACGCTTTACTTTCTAAATAACAGGGACATCTGACAGACCAACCACCCTGAGCCATTTCCACAAGGAACAAATGTGCAAATCAAAAATATGTGCTCTCGGCCAAATGTTCGTTAAAAAGAGTTCACCCTGACCCAGAGCAAAATTAATTAGGTCTAGCAGATAAAATCCAGATCGATTTAAAAAATAAAACACACAAGTTAATAATTGGGAACATACTTTATACAAAAACCTCAACATTAAAATTCAGCTTCTAGGCTTTTTATCAACCGAGTGTCCGAGCTGGAACCCTTTCATGCCGCCTGCAGCCAGATGTTTGTGAATCTAACGAGTGAGCCACAGAATCTTCAGTCAAATGCAAATTTAAAGTCATCACAGAAGGGGGGGTTCAGTAGCTGAAAGCCTCTCCGGCTGGTGTCATTGATGCTGCTTTTGTAAACACAAAATCTCACACTGATGGAGGAATTTTTTGCTTTCTTGACTCCTTTTCCAGATGTGAATCGAAAACTCGTGGTGCTTATTGTCATTGGCTGCACAACTCCGTCTCTTCTGGGGTCGAATGAAACATAAAGCGGCAGGAAGTTGTAATTCTGCTGACATCATATATATGTGAACTTTGACCTGCAGGTAAGCCGAACCTCTGGGTGGCAATCAGCGAGTGAAAACCTCCGTTGTGACGGACCGGGGGGGGGGGCTTTAGCTTCCCGGACTGTGACAGGACAACTGGTGTCTCTGGCGTGGTATTCATTTGTTTTTTGTGAATGTTTGGCTTTATTTCGGATTTATTTAAAACCTTGATGGATTTTTAAAAGACAACATTGGCAATTGGGTGTAAAAAAAAAGGCCATATTTCATCGGGAGACTCAGATGTAGTTTGAATCAAAGCCTTTGCAGAGCCTCTGGAGGGATCGTGGAGCCTTTAGAGACTGATTCCATATGGGGCGGCTTTTCTAAATGAGCTATTGAGGCGCCCTGATTGGCCCTAAAGAGCGGTGTGTGTGTTTTCTCTGCCGGGATGACTGACAGACTCACCCTCAGCGGCCGTTTCACAGCCCAGCCAAAGTAGAACCCCCCCCCCAATCGGCATGAGGAGCCTCGTCTGACGGACCTACCTGAGCAGATTGCACCAAGCCGGAAAGCCCAAACTCCAAAAATCATTTCATGCTTTGCTGACCTCAGCTGAGACACAACTGTGCCCTTCTTAACTTCACTTTCCTCTCAAAGGAGTGACACATTTACTAATTCATTACTTTGCTTCCCCTAGGTTAGCAAGTGAATTCACAATTAATTTCAAACATACGTCTGGTTCTCTACAAAAAGAGCCTATCCCAACTCAGAATCTTGTGTTTGATGATGAATAAAATGGATAAAATGAAAATAATATCTATTTTTCTATTTTAAGCTGGGGACACTATCATTTTTCTAAAGTTACACACCATCCGCAGCCTTTTTTTTTTAACCATGTTTTTGTGAATATTTCGCTGATAATTGTCCCTTTGAATTAAAGATGTGTCTGAATACGTTGAGCTTGATGAAGCTCATAAATAAAGAAAGGTGAGCGACAGGTGAGCTCTGCTGTTGCTGCAGCCCAATGCAGACTGACAGGAAATGGAAAAGCTTTAAAACACTAATCTAAAGAGAGCAGTGAACTCAACACGAACTCAGACAGAAGACGGCCATTAACAGCTCAAATCTGAGGGAATTTCTGACGAGTTAAGTGTCTGCAGGTGAGTCAATAATGTGAAACAGGTGTGCAAGAAAAACTGAACTAAGTTTGAGTCCTTCCTCACATTCAAATGTTCACATAAGAAACGCTAACACGTACAATTTTAAAATGGGACAAACCCAAAAGGCTTCACAGGCTTAGGAATAAGAAAAGAGCAAAAAAGAAAAAGAGAATTATGGAGTCTCTAAAAGTGCTGACAGTCCGTTTCCATTTGATGAATCTATGTGTTCAGCAGCCTGTTTTTATTACCTGCTGTCCTGATTGTTTCTTCTGTTTTTTGCTTTAGTTCTTTTATTCAAGCCTTCTGCAGAGCGTAGTCTCATGTTTGGTGCCTTTTTACTTACTGCTGCCAAACCGTGTGCTTTTTGACAAAATACTCCTTTATTCAGCCGGTTCGTGTCCTGATTCTGCCCTCGTGTCCTCCCTCGAACTCTCGGTGGAAATGAATGCTCCTCCATCCATTATGCAAGAGTCACATCTAAGTGAGAGCTCATTAACACTGAACATTGTTTAATCAGACTGAACTAAAACCATGTTCACATATTCAATATTCATGGGCTCGGTCGTTAATATTATCTACCAAGAAAAATGCTGTAGAAGTGCCTCCAACACTTTTTTTTAGAGCTTCTGCTTTTTGTGTGGATTTTACTGACCCTGATTTGGATTCTGCGAAGCAGAAAATGAAAAACAAAAAAGATGTTCAAACCCACGTTTTGAAAAAAAGTAGGTATTTCTACAAAAGCTGCACTAACCCTCTGTGTCATCGACAATTGCGTTTCCCGCAGACCCCGTCTGTGGGCAGAGGCCTATCGGCGGCCGGTTTCTTAATGAAGTAAAAAGGGATTCCGGACGGCTCCGAGGGCCGCGGCGGGGAACCCTAATTGCAAACATACACTGGCGTCCCCCCCCAGCAGGCAAAGACAAGTGAGCCTTTATCCAGACGGTCATCGGGGGCCAGGGCGGCCGCTCGGACCGCTATCAAACGCTGTTTATCGTAAACACGAACGGGCAAAAATGTGTCGCAAACAGTAGACGGGGGGGGAAAAGGAGGGTCTCCCGCAGCCCAACACAGTTAAAGCTGGGGCCGAATAAGAAAATAATTATGTTTGAAAGCTCTGGGAAAGAAGAAAAAATCAGATGTGAAAGCAGGTGGTGCACTCAGCTAGAAAATCTCAACAAAAGAAATAAGTCCATGCATCAGACTGAGAGTTGTCTCTGACATTTTGGGAATCATGGGAATGAGCAGAAAAGCTCTTCTCACTCCGAGCTGACGCCTTTGGTGTGGGATTGAAAAACCCCTCTTATTGTTTTTAGCATCTCTGCAGACGGAGGCGTGAAGAACCCACTTTAGGAACCGCTGCCTGAACTTAACACGGTGGGTCAATAAAGAGATGCTTATGCATTTAGCAGATGCTTTTAGCCAAAGTGTTACACATACATGTGCATCTTCCTGTTGGGGAATTGAACCCACGCTCTCCTGCGTGACAGGTGTGGACACTCACCACTATACTAGCCCACCGGAAGAGAACTGACCAGCCGTGTTTGATGGAACACTAAAAACGAGCTCAGAGTTTCAGATTCTGGTACCGTGACAAAATGAAGTCCACATGACACCCGCATGAGATTTCTCTAGATAACCTGAAAAGGTCTGGGCTCATCAGCCTCTGGACCCTTGGCCCTCATGGCCATTGGGCCTCTGGACCATTGGGCCCTTGGCCCTATGGCCTCTGGACCCTTCAGCCTCTGGGCCCTTGGCACTCTGGGTCTCTGGGACCTTCAGCCTCTGGGCCATTGGGCCCATGGGCCCATCTGCCTTTGGCCTATCCCCCTCTTGGCCTTTGGGCCCTTGGGCCTCTCAGTCCTTGGGCCCCTGGGCCTCTGGGCCCATTGGCCTCTGGACCCTTGGACCGTTGGGCCTCTGGGCCCATTGGCCTCTGGACCCTTGGACCGTTGGGCCTCTGGGCCATTGGACCCTTGGCCCTTTGGCCTCTGGACCCTTCGGCCTCTCAGACCTTGGGCCTCTGGACCCTTGGGCCTTTGGACCATTGGGCCTCTGGACCATTGGGCCCTTGGCCCTTTGGCCTCTCGGCCTCTGGACCCTTCTGGGCCCTTCGGCTTCTGGACGCTTGGGCCTCTGGGTCTCTGGGCCCTTGACCTCTGGGCCTCTGGACCCTTCGGCCTCTTGGCCCTTGGCACTCTGGGCCAATCGCCCTCTAGGCCCATCGGTTTCTTTGCCCTTGGGCCTCTGGGCCTTTGGGTTTTTCGGCCCTCGGGGCCCCGCGGTTCCAGCCCGTTCTGCTGGTCTGTCAGGCTCTGACCGTGTTTGGGCCTCACCGAAGGCTCCCCTGATGCTGCGAGCCGGGCCGTGTTTTTCCAGCCTATTTAGATTATTTTCTTTGCCGTGTCCAGGGCTCTCTGAGTGTTGAAGTTTACCTCCAGACGACGGCCGCGGCTTTGTGTCAATTACGCTCTGTTATCCTAACTCCAGCTCTGACAGGAGCATGACAACACAACGCCGGGAAAAGGGCAGGCGGCCAGTGCCCAGACGCAGCCGTGTTTGAAAGCGCTGCCCGTCAGATCTATCCCCAATGTTTGTGGGGTTTCAGTAACTCAAGCTAGCTGCTGCTTTCATAGCTGGAAACGGAGTGAATTAACCACCAAAAAGGTTTTTCTAGATGGAGTTTTACGCTCCCAAAATGAACAAACTGTCCAAAATCATCTGAAGGACAAAAAAGGACGAATAATAACTGGAAATATTCAGTCCAAATTATCCAGCACTGTAAGAAATTAAGTCCTCCTGCTGAGTTTAATCACTGAAAAAACTCCTGGAAATCACGTTTCGAAGGAAACCTGCAGCTCTGGGGAAAGATAGTACACCTTTATCCTTTAAAGCCTCAGCACCCAGCAGCAGAAGTTTTAAAATAATCTCACAAAAGGGAAAAAAAGAGAGATAAAAAAAGGTGTGACACACAGGTTTGCTTAAACTGATTAAAAAAAGACTCATTTTCCACAAATGTAACCAACTAACAAAAAGGAGAACAGAGAAGTTGACAACATGACATTTTCATCCATTGGATATTTTTAAATAAGCTCAAAGTTCAGCCGATTAGTTAGACAGCCGAGCGAATTCGGGCTTGTACGGGTTATTACTCTTTATGTTCATAAAGGTCAAGCTTGTTTAATTCCCTTTACTCATGAAAGAGACAAAAAAAAAAAAAGTTTTCTCCCAGAAACGGAAAATGTAAAAAAAAAAAAGAAAAAAAATCTTCAAACCTCAAAGTGCAGAAATATTTTACTTGCTCAAATTTCTTTCCTTTCAAGATGAAAAAGTCAAGGCTGTTTTTTTTTGGGGGAAAAAAATGTGATAGTTGGAGCAAATTATCCACCGTGGGGAGAAATGTTGTCCACAGATAAGCGATGCATGATTACAGGGGAAAAAAAACAAGCGTGAGTCTAAAAGCCGAGAAGTAAACAGTCTGCATCTGTCAGAGAGAAGCTTCATCTCAGCCATCGGAGGAGTAAAACCGAACGCTAAAACGCTCCAATTTAGGCCGATTTTCTCTTTTGGTGTCACTTCTTTAATGACCCGCATCCCTTCGCAGCGTCAAACAGCTCAGCTGGAAAAGTCTGTTCCCACATCCTCTTAAAGAATTGTCTGAATTGACTGATTTTGTATTTTGTGATTTTTGTGTTGTTTGGTCTTCCTGCCTCAGGACGACAGATGTAAACTAGCAACTATGCTAGAATCTGGCTCATTTACAATCTGTATGAGATTGTTCATTAATGTGCACTGTCCTGATTTAAACCAAACTCCTATTTGTTTTGTCAGAGTAACTAACTCTGAGCAGGTCACAATGGCAGAGATGACTCCAGACACATCTGGACTTGTCCTCCAGATGTGATCAGCGCTAACATTGTGAGTTATTGTGTTGATCTGCTTCAGGCACGGGCCGCCGCTCCTCATTCGGACCTCATCTTCCTGGTTTTGCTGGGCTAATTGCTAGCGGCGCCGACTCGGGGGGCTGCCGGAGGGTCTCAGGTGATTGAAGTGGCTTTCAATCAGCTCCCAGAAGCCGGACGAGAGCCCCCCCCTTCGCTCCCACGCGGGGACGGACGTGTCGCTTCAGGCTGATTGGCTCAGAGGTGTCTGACAGGAATTCAAGCGGCAGAAGGCTGAACTGCAGGTAACCACAGCAACAACCGAGATGCCCGTACAGAATATCAACAGCTTTATTTGAGGCTTCTCATTAGCAGCCCACGCTGTGTTTTTCCTCAGCCGCTCAGAGATTCTCAATATTGTGGACTGAGCACAGGCCAGAGGCAACTCTTATGGATAATTTACACCGTAATGAAGCCACCAACCTTATAATAACCTTATAATCGCAAACATGGAAAACTGTTCATAGACTAAGGGGGTCGGCAAAGATTAAATACATAATGAAACACCACATATTTATTGATGAAATGAGTGCCGTCGAACGGGAAATGCAAAGCAAGGACTAAAGAGCATCAAAACCAGAAGGAACAAGCAACAGGAGAGCGAAATAATGCAGAGAGAGACGACAACAAATGCACAAACGACTGACAGGAATACAAAAACCGGGAGAAACAGGTGTGAGTAGAGACCAGGACAACTGGGAACCTCTAATAATGACCACAAACAAAACAGCTTTACATACGTGGCATGTTACACTGCATTACACACCCTGCATCAGCTCTTTAATAATAGAGCCACACAACTTCCATCCTTCCATTTTCGTAACCGCTTATTCCCTAATGGGGTCGCAGGAGGACTAGAGCCTATCCCAGTAGTCAATGGGTCACCCTGGACGGTGTCCAGTCAATCACAGAGACACACAAGGACCAACAACCACTCACACTCACATTAAGGGCACTTTGGAATGTCCAATCAAGCTAACATGCAGGTTTTTGGACGGCGGGAACCCAGAGAGAACCCACGCAGACTCCACCCAGAAAGGTCCTGGTTTCCCCGGGATTCGAACCCAACACCTTCTGGCTGTGATGGTGCTGAACACCACACCACCGTGTCGCCTGCCACACAACTTAATTGGTCAAAAGGAGGCCAAAATAGCCCACAAAACGACAAGGAACTTCAAAACAAGTTTCAAGATTCAAGAACTTTATATTTCTGCCGCACACGTTCCCATCATGAGCCGATAGGCCCTGGGTCAGTCAGAGTAAGAGCACCGAAAAAGGCAAAATTAATAAAATACAATACTAAGCAGTACAAACGTAAATAATATATCTTTTTTTTTTCATTTGAGACCATTTGCATCATGCAATGGTGAAAACTTCGCTCAAAACCCTTTTGTACACAATCAGATACTCATAACAGAAAGAATACAGACAATAATTTTGACTTAATAGACAGTAAGAAAGGATGAATATTCCAAAATTATTTCTTTTTTTCATTACGGTCAAATAAAAGGCTTAAAAATATATGTATTCCCTCTATTTTGTATTCCCTCTGTTCCCTCTATCTCGGCTCAGGTTTTGAAAAGCGTGAATTAGCACTTAATTAGTCATAAACTAGTCAGAACACAAAAACAAAAGTCATGACACATCATTCTGAATTTAAACTGACAAAGAGATAAAAACAACAGAAATGCTCTTTTTGATGAATAACATTAAAAGAACAGAAAAGTGATACATTGTAAATAAGAAATAAATTCAAATGATGGGATCAGGAAAAGCTACTTCATTCAATATCACTGTCACTAACTTGTCTGCTTTTTGGGTTCTTCCATTATAAATAACCACAAAACAAACGTATTAAATGATCTGAAGTTGGCTGCATTCTGTCTTCACTTTCTGAGATTGTAAAAGTGCAAAAAAGCCGAAAAAAATATAATTTTTGACGCAAGCAAAGAAAGAACTGACGTCTTTGTGTTTTCCCTGATTATTCTTTACTAAGGGAACCTCTACGCACAGAGCCTCATGATGTGACAAAAAATGGCCGGTTAATATGAACGCTTCGAGGGTTTGGGTTCACGAATGGGCTTTTTCTAAAAATGTTTTTTTTTTTCCGCAAACAGCCTCCGGTGAAGTCAAATGAAATGTTCCACTCTGCCTGGTGCTTTGTGGTCCGAGCTCTTGATGGAGCAGAAATAGGTGAGCCCGTTCCAGGCCAGCCTGGGACTGGTGAGACGGTTGCCTGAACACACTGTGCTGTGATGAGCCTCTCTTTTCTTTAACGGGACGGTTAATGATGCGTGACCCGTGGCGGAGGCAGGGCAGGACAATAAGCCAGCACGAGCCCTGCGGACAGCCATCCACACCGGGGGTGGGGGGTTGGGGGGGTTTCGGAGCAAAGAAAAGAGGCCGTCATGGATGTGTGCGCTTGTGCAAAAAAAAAAAAAAAAACAGCCTCGTGAACAAAAGCCATCATGTGATGGTTTATTTCTCCGGGGGTCTGGGTCCATGGGGCTGAAATAACTGAGATGGAGCTTATGAGAAAAACCAAGCGGAGTCCCAGGTTGTGCGTTTGTCACACTGTGTGATGTTTGTGCTGTGTGTGGACCCAGCTGGGGGGGTTGAACCTCGCTCCACTACTTCCCTCCGTCACAGTGGTGTAGTCAAGTTTTTTTTTTTTGTCCTGTCCACGTGGTTGTCTGGTCATTTCCTGTTTTATTTTGATAAGTAACCCTCCTCTCCTTTCACTGTGTGTCATCTTTCCAATTGTCTTCCTGATCACCAATTGTGTTCATCTGGAGTTCCCTTCCCCTCATGTGTTAAATAGTCCGCGTTGAACCTGTTTATTCCTCACTAAGA